TTTTTTTTTCGTCCTAAAGTATTTAATTAGTTAAGAAAAGTAGAACAAAAAACGTTTAAAAAGAGTCAAAAATATTGTTAAGTATTTCTAATTATGTGGATTTGGTCACTTTACCGTACGAGTAAACCTGTGGGCAGAAGCAAATTCATAGTCATAAAAGGTGAACCTTCGGTAGATATTTCAGCCAAAGCAATAAAAATCGATTATCGATGAAATGTTCCATAATATAATAATGTCATCACGCATCCGTACACAGTTATACGTGATAGCGAATGACATTACGTACTTAAGTCAAATAAAATCTTCAAAAATATCCTATCTCTTATAAGATTTACACGACACATTGGTGTAATGATAAATCGTAGAAAAAAATATTATTAAGTTTACTGTGAGTCAATTTTTTAAACGCTTAAGTTTTAGGAAAATATGTTTGTGCCATTAATCTTTATGTCGTTAGCTCTCGCGAGAATCCGTTTAAGGTCAACTCTCTGAACCATTTTGTATGCATATGCAAGCAAAATTAATTTTTTTACAAACGATTTAATAAACATATTTATGAAATAACTAATTTTTTGTTGTTCTTTCGTTCGTTCGTAAGTTCGACAAAAATAAACAGGTATGGGTAATGCAATTTAGAGTTAGTCGCGTATGAATGTACTTTTTTTTACATTACTGTCTGTGTATTGCTATATAAGTCCCTAGTGGGGTGTTAGTACCTGCTGTTGTCCATTGTTATGTTCTGAAATTTAATGCCGGAGCTACAATAAGTTTATTACGAAATTACGGTCATATGTGCCTTTTACTGCCAATGGGTGTATACTATAAGAGAGATATAGCTTCAGACATCACTAAAAGTTTTGCAAATAATCTATTACTATTAAATATATTATAGGGCAATTAGAAAATTAACAAGGTAGTCACTTCTATCATACTTGTGTTTTTTATGCCTCTAAATTCACTTAAAATTACAGATATTGAAAAGAGTGTTATTACATTAATTGTATAAACCTAAGCAATATCATAAATTAAATATCTGGATTCCTATTAAAAATATGCTTTGATAAACACTCAATTTACGCGAAGTGAAAAAAAATAGCCAAAAGTTCCTCGACTCCTTCTCTACTGTTAAAACAGTTTATGCATGTATGAAATCTAACAAAGTCGCATATAATAAAAACACTCAACGCCCATACACATCATTAGGATGATGTCATTCTACTTCATTTAGATGATTCTTGTTTCAAAGATTTTTTTCTGATAGATGCAGAAATTAATACTTTGACAGTTTACGAAACATATTTTAGGAAGCTTCGCAAACAGTAATTTTATGTAATATTTCAATATTAAAGAACATGAAAAGGTAAAAGGGCGCAGGTTTATGGCGGGTAGTGTCAGAGAGGAGCGAAATAGATGAAAGCAAGGTACGCCCCCAGTGGAATCTCTGAAGAAAACATATATCACTTTTACTAACTTGTCTTACCTACTCTATAGCGTAGTGTAGAAGTTTACGTGTTCGTAGTATTCTATAATACTAAAATACAGAGTCTGTGTTTCAGTATTTTCGGGCTGAACGTGAAAAACACTGAACGAAATTTTCGACTTTATTTTCAGCATTTTTCTTATTGTTTAAAAATGAAAAATGTTGAAAATATTGCAACGATAATATCTTTACTACAGCGAAGTCCGGTTTGGTCGTTTAGGAACACAATTCATTACGATTAATTTCTTTGCATAAAATGTTAGGCTTGTTTCACAAAAATCCAATTTTCTACATGGATAGAACATAGATTAAAGTAACATTTTGATAAAAAGTTTAAAAAGTACATGAGACCTGAGTTTTAGGTTTTTTGACACCCAAGGTTATTAATGAGAAGTAACAGATGACACAAATGTGGAGTCAATTTTTGTTTACACGAAAGTTCTAACTCATTCTAGAGTTGTTGGTCAGGGTGAGTAAGTTTAAATAATAAAATAATTATATTATATATATTTTATAGGTACAAAATTGACTATCTTTTCATAATGCATATCCCATAGCTCAATATTGAAACAATAATTATAACAAAACGTGTTAATGTGCTTATTAGTCATTCTAATCCAAATGGGCGCTAGATTGAATGAATTATTGATTTCGATAACACTGTCTTATTATAAAGTTTTAAGGGTACAAATTGGGTTATTTCATTACAATAACATATAAAGCGTTATCGCGAGACTGTTCGATATTAACGACAGAAACGATGGCTTATTCGAGGCTATTTAGGTCGGGTCAATGGCTAATCGAGGCATTCGGAGCTATTCGTGACGCTCGACGCGCTTCTGGTGAGGGACCCTTCTCGTTATAGTACAACACCTATAAAGGTATCGTGTTATAAACCCCTTAAAATATTATTATCGAGCACATATTTATGAGTCAGATGTGAGAGGTATGTGGAGTATATTCTTGCTACCAGCTACTTCTTCTGTTGGATGACGGTGTCTGCAAATCAAATATTAGCACATACCGGCGTTTCGACAACCAATTGTCTACTACATTGTATTAATTTATCCGTGTAGCGAGTGATTAAGAATACGGAGCGCCGCCACCAATATTCATACCGTTAGTGTCATAAGCGCTGTCTAAGGGAGAAAACTACGCAGGACAACAGCACTGCAAAGAGAAGGAAAACTCGACACAAAACCTATACCAACCCGTCTGGCCACCGTGGTATAGTAGGTCAAAACTTTTCTAATGAGATGCCTATGTCAAGCAGTGGACTACTGAAGGCTGATGATGGGTGGATTGATCTATCCGTCAATTTTTTATTCACTAAGTAAACAAAGGTTTACTGGTTGACTGACTACATACGTTGTACGTACCGATTGCCGGATCTATAGATGCTAGTCCTGAAATATATATATTTTGTGGATGCTATAGGAACCATACAATTAATGTTGTTTTTAACTACAATTAACCTGTGTAATGTTGTCACTTTTAACTGGTCTAAAGTAAACATCACATCTTAAGTTAGCATTTTATATGATTTAAAAAGGAAAATTGAATAAAACATGTCTCTTTACAAAAAATTAAATATACCTAGATCCTCATAGTTTTTAAAATCTTATTAACCTACAAACTGTAGACTCCTTGTAAATTTTATAGCATGTATTTTAAAGCATTTATAGCACATACGGAGACGAAAAACTTAACAATAAATCATAATAATGAACGGGAATGAATAGAATCTTAACTAACTATTAATGTATAATATGAACATGTTAAATGTTAGTTTGACTCAAAAGAATAACGTAATCATAAGACTAAATCAACAAACCCTTACTAATCATTATTAAATAGGCTTCTACTTTTGAAACAAGAAAACAATTCACTACTTAAACATTGGCGCTGTAATATTACCTACATTTGTATAGTTTATTTTTGGAAGCAACTGTTATGCACGAGTTTAATTAAGTAAGCTGTGGAATAGTAAGTAATAAACCTAAAGAGTTGAAAACCAAGAACATTTTAAAATGGAATAAAAAGAGCAAACATCAATTAAGCAAAATTAAATCAATTTAGTTTTGCTTTTTTAGTCATTCATGATCCTGAAGATCCTGGTCAGGAAAATAATCGGCCAAATTTGTCAAATTATTGTATTGTCATCGGTCCTTCATAAGTATGCGAACTTGATAAGTAGATCAAAATCACGTTCGAAGATTTCGTTACATACCTACATGGAAATACACATACATACCAAGCTAATAAAAATGTGTTAATAACTGGACATAAAAAATATATTATTTTTATGTGAATTATGAGTATCTCTATTTCCTAAGGTGTATAAATAAGCTCCTCACATTCGGTTTACTGTTAATTTTGCAAGAGCATTATCCCTCTACCGTCTTACTGAATGACATTGTCGGGCCTTTTCAAGGTGTATCTTTGTGGGTGTTATTAGATTTACATATTTATGTACGAGTACGTGTCCTAAGTCCTAAACGCCTGGGTAAATAATAAAATGGTATAAATGATATATTTCATTACTAGATACTATGAAATAATGGATGTCATTACGACCGAATGTAGTTCAAAAAGAACTAAATAAGTATCTTAATTCAGTTCTGAATATTTAGTCATATCATAACACATATAACGATACCTGTAATTTCAAGATTGTCAGGTACTAACAATGATTGTCATTTTCAGGTTATGTCTTTCTAAGAATTTTTTTCAAAAGGACTCAGAACTTAGGAGGGACATATCCGTTAGTAAGATGCACAATGAAGAAATGGGGTCGATTTTTTTTTGCAACCACAAAATAAAGAAGCCTCTAAAAGATGTTAATATATAACGAAAAAACATTAAAGATTTGCCATGGTTAAATTTAACTCCATCATCAACTAGAAATAAGAAATTTATTCGAGAGAAAACCATTTTATATCAAGTGGGAGGACACTTCTATGGCAGACAGACAGACGCCCTCACTTCTACGTAAATGCCACCAACTTCGCCCTTTCAATTATGTGTGTGGGTTTTCTCTGCGCTAACTTTGAGTTCGTCCCACGCCTAAATACTTACATCAATATCGAAAAACCTTGGTCATAGTTTTCATGGAATTAGATATTTTTATATACTACTATATACTTTTTATAAACTAGTGAAGATTGGTGGTTGTGGTATTATTAAAAACTCAATTAAAACATTGATGCTACTACACATATATACTTAGTACATTGATGAACTAGATGTATATTTGTTTCTTACATAGAAAATTTTGGAGGTTCTATGAATAATGACCATAATGAGGGGTAGCCGACCGGTATAACTCATAATTTTACTTGTAATTGTTTGTTCTGAAGGAGGAGAAATAATTATTAAACATCCAAAGGTAGAATGTGTCGCATCTTGTAAGACCAGGCTAATTCCACGCTTCCTTAAATTTAAACTTTTTCAACAGGATATCTTCTTTCTCCGGCTTCAAGACCTGTTTATATAAAATATATATCTATATAATACTCACTTTCATCTGACTGCGGTGCTGATAAAATGGCACTGTGCTTCTTCTTTACTTCTTCGACATTCGCTTGAATCTTGTCTATCATCTCTCGTATCTCTTCCACCTGTTAAAAACAAATGCAGCAAATTAATTAAAATTAAATCAATCAAATACTTTATGGAAAACATGAAAAAATTAAATTTTCGATTCTGCACATTGGTACAATAAAGCACGTACAGAATAAATTACTGATACAGTCGTGGTTATTGCATTTTCAACATTGGGCAGTCTGCTGCGGAAGTACTCAAACGTGTCAAAAATGCCGAATATTTAAGGAATGGTAATAGTAACGAACTTAGATAATAATTCTTTTAGCAATATTATGTATATGCCTCATAAGACAGGCAATGTTGTGGCTAAAGGTAATATTGTAACTAGATTATATTTTAGCACATTTAATGAAAATAAATCATATTTGTTTTTTATTGTTTTCCATTATCATCGTCATATAAATAATTTTCTGGAATAAAAACTTTAGTACCTAGTAATTGGAATGAGAAACAATAAAATTCACAAATGTAGATAAAATGTTCAACTTTTATCTATGTTCAATGACAAGCCTCCTTTCTAAGGAGATGCCTATGTCCAGCAGTCGACTATTAAAGGACTATGATGATGAAATGACAAGTCTGACTTTACCTAGAAAACAACACCAACTTGCATTAACAAGACTCATTAATTTCTTCAACCACGGTTGACGACAAGCTATATTTAGGCACAGTTGGTTAATTACGCAGTAACTTGAATGGTACCACTTTTTCCTCAAACATTATAATTCGACAGAAATCAGAACCTCCGAAGTCTAGACGACGCGGCGTCAGTATGGCTGGCATGATGCCAGCTGACATACTCTAACCCAGCTTAAACTACTATATTTTAAATGTATATTCTTTTGTGTAGTGTGAAGAGACAAGAACAATGTTTAGTATGATAGGTACACTTGTTGTTTCCCTGGCAACAAAATTTCAAGACGATCGATAAAAGGTATAGAAGCATACATGAGCCCTACATGTAGGGGGATCGTCTAGAGCAGCCCATCAGATTAGTAAAAGTCGATGGCCAGAAATACTTGAACGTGTAAGATTAAGGTAAGCCAGTCAATTGCATACACATTAGCGTGTATTTAAAAAAAAACAGACGACTTGAGCGTGACATTGCAGTGACGAGCAGTGGGAGGGCCACAAAGTACCAATAAAAAAAACACATGAACTTGCCATTTTATTTTTTTTATTTTGAAGCAAACAATGAAAGGAACCTTCTTTAAATGACTACATAATTTTTCGTGCCTTTATTCACGTCAAACCGTCACATTTAAAATACCCTGCAAAATTATCCCCAGATTTTATGCTAGTATATCAGGAACATCAAGCTGAACTGTCTGTATAAAATCTAACACGGTCGGGTATATCGAAATGGCGATTTTTCGAATATGTGGTTTGCATTTTCGATAATTTGCTGGAAGCTTGTGTAACTTTAAAATTTCAGACCTTTCAATAGGAGCATTTTTGGCGTCCAAATAAAATATCCCCGAAATATCTGATGAGCCATCATGAACATTATGTGATTTTTATTTATTCTATTACCTAATCTTTCAAATGCAATAGGTTCCCATGACGCCCGAGTAAATCGCCGTTTGGCATCATGGGCTCCCCGGCTAATAGTAGTAGTGAAGTAAGTTAGCTGTTGTGAAAAATCACTCGTATTCTTAAATAAATAAAATATATCTTGTAAACTAGAACTGAAAGTTGAGGACGCTGTGCTTTACATACTGTGAGACAGTCGTTATGTGCGTGATCAATGTTCCAGAGGGTTATGCAGAGATGATTAAAGGGTGGTGTTTTAATTTTATGAAATGATAAATAGCCTTGTTTGCCTGTTTTACTATTTTATCCTGATACACAATGAAAATGTTCTGAATTCTTTCGTATGTGATGTGTACAACATCAATCTGTGCTATGGTACGTTTATATGTGGTATGTACTTTCAATCTTACAACAAATGCCTTCTATTAAACCTATCGTTATTCGAATGCAATGTAAAAAATATCATATTTACGTAATTGAGGACTTTAAAACGACTAAAACAATAAGCAAATACAATAGCAGGTAGCGCTATTGTTTGTATCACGTGAGGGCGTCGTCGCTATCGTAGATTCTTCGTCGTTGTTTGCAATTCAACTGACTACATTTACAACGTGCACCCTGACGGATATCGTAGATAGCCTCTGACTTCCTTGAAGAGTTTTTAACTTAAAAAAGTACATATATATATATATATATATATTAATTACAATAATATGAAAATTACGCAATGTTTATAATGCTAGCCGTAAGCGAATAATATATTTTTCTGAATTCTACCAACGTTTCATGTTACTTATTAGTAGTAATAAAATACTTTTGTGACAGCTATTTTAGATCGAAAATACCTGTCAACATTCCCAATTATACTTTTATGCCTAGGAGGTACGCTAACCAACAGGCATATAAAGCGCATCCTTGGCCGAGTAGATAGGTAGCCCTGCCAGCAGTGAAAATGTCTTTAATGTATTCAGTACTTGGTAACTATTACTCTATTTATGCCGTCGACTAATTATAATTAAGAAAAGATGAAATAAAGTTTCGAAATTAATTAAATTTTGCTATTTTATAAGATTTATATCTATAGTGATGTCATCAAATTATATAAATGTAAATATTAACATCATGAGATATTGCATGGAATTTACGTATCAATAAAAATGACATACCTACACTCATCAAGAAAATATTTTATCGCCATTCGATCATAAAACACAATAGCTACAATGAATCGCCGGCTAAGTCCAATAAGATAAGTGATTGATTCATATTTGAATATAGTATCAATTATTCAGAACAAAAACCTTAATCTTTAAACAGGATTGATAAATTTTAGTTTGAGTTAGATAATTATATTCCCTTCCTCATATCTGTTATTCAAGTCGTTCAGCAATAACTGAAAGTTCAGGGTCGGGTATATGTTTAAGTCAAAAACAAACGTCCGCGATTGGATTGTGCGACACTTCATATCGTGACTCACCAATTAATCAGATTACGGCGATAACCGATATCGTCTGGCCGCTATTTGATAGCATGGTTTAATGATTACTCTATATTGCCATTGTGTAGTTTCATAAACTTCTAAGTTATTGTAACGAGAGTTTGCCGTCTAGACTGGGAGTAACACTGACCGTATTAAATCTCTCTTGTTGTACACTGTAAGTTGATTAATTTTTTTTACATCGTTTATGAAGGGTACTATTGAAATGAACATAAAAATACCATTATCAAAACATGCTGCAAAAACGTCTTACAAAAATATATGTTGTGACTTAGTGCTTAAATAAAGTAAAGATGAAAATTCAATTCCTTTACATAATTTAATCTGATTCTTTATCCATAGCTCACTTCTATAAGCTTTCTTCTTTCCAATAGTTTTAGTTAAAGTAAAAGTAACAGTCGACAACAGAACGTGAATCATTAATAAAAACAAACTAATTTAAAAATAGGTATCTATGCTAAAATGCAGTTATAAATAGAATAACCACGTAGGTTCCAACTACTTATGTGTTTGTAATTTTGTATGAGAGATTTTCATTCCAACCTTTACGCAAAGCCAAGGAGAGCTATAGACATAACTTCTTATTTTGAGTAGACATCGTTACACGAACTTTATGTTCGTTATGTGCCAAAGTAATTCCAGCAACTGAAATTCAATTTCCATCTAACCGACTCGAAATGAGGTTGCACGTGTATGTATTAATTTAGAGTAAACAATATATTATGTCTATACAATATGCTCCAAAACTTTCCATTCTAATTGATAAACTTCAATTGTTTAAATGTTGGATGCTCTAATGCATCATGCAAAATGAAATAATACTAACAAAATATTTTTAACAGATTTTTGCTTCGGTGTCGGTGTTTTACTACGAAAATACCTTTTATTACAGTTATGAGATCGAGAGGTGATCGGAACTGAATTATGACCGAAATTTTATTACGAGAATTGGTCTTCTGTCCTTCATACAAACTATATTAAATGTCATTACGAATGTTTGTGGGTTGGTGACATAATTATGAGATAAACATAAATACATTATACTCCATATCGTTGAACTACCATATAACAGATCGTCTGAGCACGAAGCGATTGGTAGCTACCACATTTGCACATCTCTTACACACATAATAACATGTAAATGAATTGCACGATTATGATGAATACCAAGCCTTGGCTGAATATTTATGACACAGTAGTGTGTTGTGAATAAAATGAAAACGCGTGAAAATTCGTGCCACGAATACAAAATGACTCGTATATTGTATTTTTTATCAAAGAAAAGTTGAGGAAGGAAAGGAAAATTAGATATCTCCCTGGGGCGGTGTATCTACTCTCTCAATTACGAGTGGACGAAAAATGTAAATAAAATTAAAAGATATGTTAATGTTTGTTAAGATCACAGGGATACAATAATTATTCGAGGTGAGGAGAGAACTTGTCTTAAAAAGCAAAATGGAATATGTTGTTACTTATGGAATACTGTTCTCATCTCTACGCAGGGGCACCTCAGTACAAGCTTCTCCCTCTGGACCGCATCGAACGAAGAGCGGCTCGAATCGTCGAGTCGAGCCAAAAGATTTGAGACCGGTTCGATTCCTTGGAGTTACGTAAAAATGTAGCTTCACCCTGCATTCTCTATCGCATTTATCATGGAGAGTGCTCCGAGGATTGTTCGGACTAATACCAGACGCAAATTTCCGCCATCGTTCCAGACGGCAAAATTTTCATCCTCATTACCTGGATAGTTGACGCTCCACTACAGTGCGCTTTTCGAAAAAGTGCGCTTTCTTTTTTGCCCCGCACAACCAATCTGTTGAACGAAACGGACACGCAACGGGTTATCGTGTGCGGTATTTCCGGACCAATTCGACCTTCAAACCTTCAAGAAAAGAGCGTACTCCTTCCTAAAAGGCCGGCAACGCGTTTGTGACTCCTGAGTTGCAGACGTGCATGGGCGGCGATGGTCACTTTCCATCAGGT